AACAGTTGCTATTTAACCACAGATGTACAAACCTTAATTTCTCCAAGATTAGTTGCTCTAGAGAATAAAACTTAACAGATACAATGTAATTAATATTTTAAGAAGTTTTTATCATTTTAACATATAAATCAACTTTGGTTTATATCAGCACATTAATATCTGTTTTTAGAGAACAACCTTGAAGAGTTTTAACTATTTGGGTTACATATATAACCAATTTAGTGATATATAAACCTTTTAATATTTATCCTTTATTAATAGATCTTTATATTACTTAATTAGTCCCTATTGTTTACTTAGATGTATTACAATTTTACTTTACCACATTAAGACTTTTTTTTAACCTGGAAACATTTGTTTTACTCAAGCTATTTTTATATTTAGAACCTTTTAATAATTTTTAATCCATTGATCCCTCTTTCTGTTTATACTTTGAAATAAACCTTATAAATTTAGGTAAATTAATCCATTTTAATAACATAAAATACTTTGAGCAGTTTAACTTTGTAAACCAATCAGATCTCCATAAAAACACATCCATGATTAATTTTATACATGTCAGATCTAATTTATGTATTTTTTTAAAAAAACAAGGTATCAGACAAGTGTACTGAATAGCATTAGTAATTTTTTTTTCCTGTTGAAGAAAAATCCTAGAGACAATGGATATTAGACACTTTATAGACATTAACATTTTATTAGCAACTGTTCCACCACCTATAAACAAAACTGCATTAGAAACTTTAAAGACGTTTATATTTTCATTATTTTTCCAATTTAAATTGAAACTTTTAAATCATATGAACCAAAGTTATTTAGATCCATTTTTTAATTTTAATTTTGAGCTCATATGTCAATTTTTGCACCGAAGATATGTAGACATGGCAAGACATGTAGACGGACAGTCCACCGGTGCACCTACACAAAACAAACAGACAAAGAAAAGCCTTGTAAGTTATTTTTTTAAAAAAACCTATTAGATTAAGAGTTAACCCTTGTAAATTTGCCTTAGAACAAAGCAGAGTGTAATCAGAGAAACATATTAACCTACATCTGTGAGATAAAAATCATGAATCTAACAAATATAGAATTTTAAAAGCCTTCTTGGCCGTTTTACTGAGAGGTCCTGCTCATCAAAGCTGAAAAGAGTTCAGAGAACATAAACAAATGACAGGACCTGAACTCTCAGAGTTTTATGCCAATTAAGCCTTTATTGCTGGCCAGCATCGGACACTCTACTCTCTAAAAACAAGATGGTCAGAGTGATGCACTCCCTTCAGTTTGGCCCGGTATTTAAGCCAAAAAAACCCACAAAAGGGACATTTGGGAGTTAAACCAATGCAAGAAGCCAAGTTACAGAAGCAGGAGATTGCAGTCAGGTGGAGGGAAGCTTAGCCAATCAGAATAAGCCCAACTTTCTGTTACTTCTCAAATCAGAAACCTCATGCCCAGACAGATGTATGTGAAAGAAATGGTTTAAAGGCAGGCCTAACTTACTATTTTACATTGACTCAACATTTGTTAACTCAAAATGCAAAGAAATGTTATGTCAACAAACAGTGAGGACAATCCTTTAATAACTACTCAGACCTTAATGGACATGAGGAAAAATCATGACAAGATGAATCTTATGATTATTATGTATGCAGAAATGGAGTTTAATGTGTTCAAAACTACTACAATGCAACATGACTGACTCTGTAGACAATCCATATGAATGCCATTTATATTTCTAAGTGTTTATACAAATCTCTTAGAAAACACAACAGACTCTACAGTAGAGAAACATCATCAATGTCATTTTTGTGGGAAAGGCTTCAGTTACATCTCTGAGCTTAGACCCGACCAGAGAATCCATATAGGAGAGAAGCCATATGAATGCATGCCATCTGTGTGGAATAACCTTCAGTCAATAATCTAACCTTAGAAAACACAAGAATACCCACAACAGAGAGAAAACATTTCAATGCCTGCTGTGTGAGAAAGTCTTTAGGAAATTATCTCACCTTCGGCAACATGAGTGAGTTCCCATTGGAGAGAAACCATACGTATGTCATCTGTGTGGGAGAGACTTCAGTGTATCTTCTCATTCCTGACAGCAAGAGAGAGCTCACAATGGGGAGAAACCACATAAATGCTCTCTGTGGGGGAAAGCCTTCAGTCCATCTTCTAAACTTAGCCTTCATGAAGTAACGCACAATAGCAAGAAACACATGTTGACTGTGGATAGGGAAGCCATTAGCCATTACTCTACCCTCAGGACACAAGATGCCTCCAACTGGATAGATGCAATTCAGATGTAATCTACATGAGAAGTTTTTATGATGCCTCTGAACTTACAGAACACAATCAATCTAACACTGGAGAAAAGCCGTAGGTATGTCATTTATGCGCAAAATATTTTAGTCTATCTTTAACCCTAATATTTTCCTCCTCCATTCTTGTAACTTTGTATTTTATTTTTGCATCAATTTTTAGTTAATAGCATTTCATTATTTCAGTGAAATCATTCTGTGTATATTGTGGTTTTCATATTTGGCTATCTTTCATTTTATTATCAAGCCAGTTTTCCTCCATGGTGTCACAAAATTATGTCCCATTGAGAAGAAAATTCCTTAGACCAATTAAGTTGAGTAGAGTTTATTGAAATAAAGCAAAAAGCCCCATAATTCATGAATTAAGCAGCAACTACATGCAAACTGGTTCTGAGATGGCTCAACAAGAACATAATGGGTCAGTGTTTATGGAGGACTGAGAGGCGTAGAAAACAACTTCATTGGCTACAGCTTAGTCAATTTAATACTCAGTTGATTAGAGCTTAATTAGCTAAATCTTTTCAGCTTAATTAGTAAAATATTTTCAACCTCGTTAATTGGTTTCAGGGCTTCCCACCACCAACCTCAGTTCAGTTACCACGATTAAACTCTATATTGGTATGTTCTGTGGAACCCAGTTCAGGGGCCCAGTCCAAATTCCTGTCTGCTCACAAATGTTATTTAAAAGTCCATAGATTCCTATGTCCTCAAAGCCTAGAATGTTTCTTATACCTGAGAAGTATATGAGAGCATTTGTAAAAGAATAGAAAGTTGGTTGAATTTCTCTAAGTCCCCTTTATAATGGCCTAACATCTTCATTCTTCACTTTGTGTGAGGATGGTAGCTGTATAGTTGTCTGGAAATTCCAATAAAATGCACAGGGTATGTTTCCAGGTAAGACCTCATTAGATTTAGTGTTTTTCAATCAGGGTATATCCCCTATAATGTGGTCCTGATTAGCTTCATCAACTGGTTTTCCCTTATAAAAGGGAAGCCAAGTGGAGAATAAGTTTCCCAGAGAAGAATTCCCATGCTGGGAGAAGAGCCACTATCAGCTCACTTGTGGATCCTGCCTCGGAAATAGGGATCTGGTCAGGGCAAGATGGTGGATTAGCTGAGGTAGCACTTCTCTTAGCTCTGCTGCCCAGAACTCAAACAGCAGTAATACTTCCTGAGCTATTCTCTTCCTGAGGCTTAGTGAAAAATCCCGAGTCTGGAGGGGCAATCTGCCTAGCCGAACCACGGACTGACTCATTAACCAGATCTTTAAAAACCCTCTGCACCAGAGTTTATCAGAGGTATGCTGAGAGTGGATCCAGGAGACACCCTGGGATGGCAGAGGGGTGGAGCCTATGCTGGAAAACCAGATCTGTGGGTTTACAGCTAGGTCTGTGTGGGCCTGTGGGAAGTGAGGAACTGGGAGCATTCCGACAGGTGGACACGGGTTAGGAAGGCTTGAGAGAGTTAGGCTCTCCACAGCTCCATGAGGGTACTGCTAGGGCTGGCTTCAGTGGGTCAGAGGGTTGGAGAGGGGTGTGAGGGCATTTGCTTTCAGCTCATCCAGCCTGAAGACCAGGCACCCACTGGGTGCCCTGGACCCACCTGGGCCTGCACTCACCTTGTCCAGACTCCCTCCACAGTCCAGCATCCACTGCTCCCAGGATTGCCAGGTGGGCTCCCCAGCCTCCAGTCTCCCCACCTTCCCTGGCCCCTTCACAGCCAGCCCCCAGTTCCAGGCATAAGGCCCTGATCCACCTGGTGGCACAGAAGAGCTGGGCCCTAACTTGCCCCAAGTGCCACTTAGCTGTCAGCCCCACCCAGTGGATCACACAGCTTCAGTCCACCAGGCTGCTTTGCCGCCAGACCCTCCTGGTCCAGCACACAGCCTTCTTGCTGGCTCACAGGATCCAGTGCCAGGGCCTGATCCACCTAGCCCCTGGTCCTGGCCAGCAGCTTTGTCGTCCACCCGCAACCCAGCTTCCCCAGCCTCTCACTTCACCTCCAGGCCTGCAGCCCCTCACTAATTCCCCAAGAAGGGAAATTAGGAATCCTTAAACCCAACCTCAACACAGTGAGCAACCCAACAAAAGGAAGGATGCACAATCCATGGCCCAGACTCACTTAGATCACACCTCAAGAAGAAATGGAAAGAAAACCAGGTGGGCAGACGGTGAACACATACACTCACTGTTTTGTCCTCTGTAGTGGATACAACTCCTTGATTTCTTAACATTTCACCAAGATTTGTTGTTGTTGTTGTTTGTTTGTTTGTTGTGGTAGTTCTGTTTTACTTTTTGATTTAGGGTTTTCATATTGGATTCTTGTTTTATTTGAATGTGTACTGACTGATTGAAGGACTCTTTCACATGTTCATATTTGTTTCCTCTCATTTCTAGCCTTGTTTTTTATTTCTTTTTTTTTTCTTCAATCTTTTTTTTTTTTTGGTGTTAGAGTTTTTATGTTTTCTTGATTATTTATTGAAAGGTGTTGTTTCCCCATGCTGTGTATTTTGATATTGTTTTTATTTTCAAATGTCACCAAAACATGGCATCAAGTTATATGTGAAATCAATATTTATTTATTTTTATTGACAATGGAAATGCGAGTTGATCATAGAGCTAGAGGTGTTCAATATGAATATTTTGTTCTTGGCACAGAACTTTCCTTTTGATGCTTCTCATGGTTTCATTTTATCCTGGGTTTAAGGGCCTCACGATAGTCCGTATAGATAACTGGTGTTGGAACTGGTATAAGAATCCACCACTTTCTGCAGCATCTAATCTTTCTTTGGCAGAAAGAAATTAGCTCTTCTATTACTTTGCAGGTAGGTCTTCTGCAGACGCCTCCAAGGCCAAGACAATGGCCTTCACCAGAACCTAAGCCACTTCTTACTGCTGAAGAAGAGAATCAATGAGATAATTAGCTCATGTAGGAAATGTAAAGCCAGCAACACTCTGAAGTATGCTGTTGGGGTTCATGCATTGTGTGCCTAAAAAAGCCAACAAGGGACATGGAGAGGGGGAGCTGGCCCTTCCCCCTAGCCCCAATCCTTTGGAGAAGATCTGGAGGGAATGAACTGGGTTGGGAAGTAAAGGAATGTTCTCATAAAACATCTGAAGACAGCCACCTGAGTAGTGGGATTGCAGCCTATCTTATCCTCCCCAGCCCCTAGGCATGACACGGCCATCAATTGTATTGTGGCCCACCACCACCCAGGAGTAAGTAAGAAAATATCCAAAACATCTCCATTTTGTCTTCTAAGTTCTCTCTTTGGGATTGATAAACAGTGATATGGACTTTGTAGTTCTGGGGTTTAACATATGCAAACAGAATAATTATGTTATGAGCATCTCTGTGAAGAAAAGAGGTTGAATGAAAGACTCAGTTTAACAGCTCCATCTCACTGACTGCCCTGTTCACTGGCTTTTGACTTCACCTGAGGGCTCAAGTATTTACAAACACCTCCTTCCTTTTCTTATAGATTTTTGGCATAAGTAATTTGAACTTTAGAACCAAACTTGGTAAACTTGATGGTGAAACAATAAGAAAGTTGACAAAATGTATGTCCCAAATACAGCAATGTCTTCATTACTTAGTATTTTGTATGAGTCCTCAGCAAATATTGACTGAGTATACTAATAGAAAAATAAAAGTGAGAAATGTTTTCTGTTCATACAGAACTTACATTCAGTGAAGAAAATAAAACCACTGAAAACTAAATAATTCAGAATATGGGAAGATTCTTGGAAAAAAACCCAATTATGGGCAAGATACAGTCTGGATGATGGAACCATGGAGCATTTGAACTGACACTGAATGCTGGGCAAGAAAAGATAAGCCAACATCTGGGTGAGAGCACTTTAGACACATAGAATAGCATGAGCAAGCTCCCTGGCTCAGTTATTTAGAAAACAGAAAGGAGACATTGAGCATGTTGGAAGAGAAATGTGTTTTAATAGGAAATGAGTTGAGATACACTAGGATCAGATATGGGTGGCTTGCAGCCCACGATCAGCTTGCAGATGTGCATCATGGCTGCTGTAACTGCCTTACTGGAGTCCCTTGGGGATCCCTATTGTAATGCTTCCTTTAAAACACTCAGTGTTGGGCCTTTTCTGTCTCCTGTACCCTCTTCCTTCTGAAAAGGGTATGGTCAATTTTTCATGGAAAACTATTGTGTGAGTAGTCATTTGTGGTGACTGCCTACCCTAAGGTAAAATTTGTTTTTGAATTATTTAATTATAATTTAAAACTTAAAAGCTGTAAATATTTATGATGTACAGCATGAGGTTTTGATATGCTGGAGAATGTCAAAATCAAGCCAATTAATGTGAATGATTTCACACATTTTCTTCAATCTTTCTTTTCTGGTAGTGAGACCCAGAAAAGTGTATACTTATAATTTTCAAGTATACACTTTACTGTCATTAACTCTACCTACCATGTTGTTATAATACCCAATATTTCTCCTAACAGAGGATTTATGTCAGAAGACATCTCTCCTGCATCTGAGTCACATGAGTACTCAAGAGATGGTGGTGGCACTTGTGTCCTCTGAGTGGTACCAGTAGACCAGCCATAGAGCACAGGTTTGCAGCAACTGACAGTGAGAAAAAAAAAAAAAAGAAAAGTACTGGATTCTGGAGGGGTGAAAAGTGGACATTCAGCACACAGTCACCTCCCTGCCATGTTGGTAGTTGTGTGGCTGCATGTAAGGAGCCAGAGAGTTGAGATCAGGTGCTTGAGCATGCAGGGTCAGGTGATGCCTAGCTTTATGTAACTGAGCTGGTACCTGGAGCAATGGTGCCGACAGAATGTGCCTTCAGGGCCCAGGCATGAGAAGGCTGACTAGAGTTGTGGCTCTGGGAACTGACATGCAATCACATGTGGCATAGCACATTTGCTACACTTATGAACACTGGCATGCATAGCGACCGTAACTCTGGGTCCTGGTGCATGAATGTGTTCCCTAAGGTTTGTGGGCTTTAACTGGAGCATAAACATTAGGATCAGTGACTTTTATTGTGAACTAGCTCAGTATGGTAATGGCTTCACTTTCTCAGGTGTGGATGACGAAGTGTAGAAAGAGAACTGGGTTCTTAAAGTGGGCACGCTTTGGTTGCAGCCTGTAAGTCAAGGACATGGACAGATTTAGAATGTCAGTTGTTATCCTGGTGCAGCACAAGAGCAACTGCTTCTTTGCAAAGGTGAAGGAAATGGGCAGCCTCACATCCCTCTCTGGAATTTCCAGAGTGGGAATTGCTCTTGGAAGGGCTGTTAGTAACACCAGTGGCAAAACATCCTAGTGTCCTCTATGGGACAGCCTGCTGAGGAGCACCATGTTTCCCACCACATGATTATACTGTAGTTTCCACCTTTCTTCTTTATTCTTAGCTATTTCTCAATCTCTTTGTGTCTCTGGTAGGCTTATCTTATCAGCAAACCTTTCTATGTGGATTGTCTCAATTTGTATTGTGCTCTTTTGTTTCTGGGTGTCCTTAAGTAAATCTTGAGTTTTCCCAGGACTATTTCAGTTTATGGATACACATACACACACACACACACACACACACACACACACACACACACACACTCTGTATGTGTGAGGGGGGTGAAGACTATTATCACCCACTTGACTATCTTGATATCACTAATCCAATTAATATCTTTTAGTTTCTTCTTCTTTTGATTAACTTAGAAGCAGAGTTACTTTCTCCATATTTAGATGTGATCTATTTCAATGATTAAATCTTAGACTCTCTTGGAATGTCAAAACTTTTACTTTTTTCCTAACTAGTAAAAGTCTATCAATATGCATCTGAAAGTATATTACAAGAATATTGGAAAGGTGAATTTTTTTTTGTATCCAGATAAATTCCTTCAGATGCACTATGTCACAGCAAAGTTTAATTAATAAATCTTTGTATTGGCAAACAAATGAGTCAGTGCTGCAGACCTCAGAGTGAGAGAAGACAAAAGAGTTAGGACAATTGTGGTTAATAGCATCATTTGTCTTCCCCCTCTGTGTCGGGAAGTTATACATTGTCAATGATTTGTCATCCATGAGATAACTTTAGATTCACTAATATATAGAGACCCTATTAGGAAGATAATTGTTTAGTATCAACACATCACTTTTATTTATATGTAACTATTGAGAACACTCTTTGGTAAGCATGATAGGACAGTGTTTGATAGGTAGAGCAGAATGATATATTGTATACACACACACACACACACACACACACACACATATATATATATATATATATATATATATATATATATTTATCATTATTCATATTGTTATATGATATGTTATATCTATATAATCATATATTATGCCCAGGCAATCAACTTATATAAATAGTTTTTTCAAAGGGGAGAATTGAAAAGACCATCATCACTGATACTAGTAAAACATATCTAATACAGAAGAGAAGCATATTGCTTTAACAAAGTTAAAATTCATAAACAATGCATATACCAACTTCAAAGCAAAATATTACCCTCAATCCTATTAACAGAAGAATACAAAAATGCCTGTCCTCAATATTATATTTCTATAGTTCTGAGTTTTTTGGCAATGACATAATTTATAAAAAGGATAGAGAATGATGAACAGAAACTCACTGATGTCTTCTCTACTTCCCCAAATACCATGGGATTGACATAAGGGGCATTTTGAAGAGTCTATAATAGCTTCTACACTGGCAATTCCAGGAACTTTAGTCCTTGGGGGTCCAATTTGTTTGTCTTATTAATATTCACTCAATCTGTCTTGCCTACTTGATCATCCTTGATGGTGAACTCATAGCGTATACTTAATCCACCATTGTTCTATGGTCTAAGATGGAATGCTACCTTGATTTGTAATTCAGAATCTTAGAATTTCATCAATACATCAGTATCAAAAATCTCTGAGAGGCAGAAATCGTTTGATTAGACTGAAAGAACAATTGAGACTTTTGGCTATATTTGAAGATACATACTCTCAAGCAATTGGTGCTCTAGAATAAATACATACTAGGGAATCTCTTTAAAATCTTTTCAAAAATGGATAGTAATTTCCTAGAATACCCTCCCCTTCAAGCAAAGAAGTAGCCCTTGATATTTAGCTTGAGCAGTGGACACTGTTTTGGTCAACATGGAGAGGAGCAGGAATTCCCAGATGGTCAATTCTATCATCAGTAGAGGAAAAGGGGATGATTATTCTTGGGCCAGCAGCAATGCTATGTTGTTAAGCCTGGAACTGCTTCACTGAGACACATCATTGAGTTGGTCTCACTGAAGTAGGTTTGGATGGCAGCATTCCCATTTTAGACCATGGAACAATGGGGTATTAGTGATGAGCAGTGAGTTCACCATCAAAGATGATCAGGTTTCTGATATGTGGATGCTAACCCCTAAGAAGGGAGGGTAGTAGGAAGGGGAAGTGTAGAAGTTCATTGGATTAGACAAAGGGGAATGAAGGGAAGAGAGGGGGGATGAGAATGGAAAAGAGAGTAGAATGAATTGGATGTAATGTTCTTATATGAATATACAACCAGTGTAACTCTACATCATGTTCAACCACAAGAATGGGATCAAAATTGTAATAGGTTGTACCCCATGTATGTGCAATATGTCAAAATACACCACCCTACTGTCATGTATATCTAAAACAACAACAACAACAAAGATGATCAGGTAGGCAAGGCAGCAGGAGTACACATTAAAGAGATAAGCAATAGTTTGGATCCTCAAGGATGAGAGATACTGGAATTTCCAGTATGGAGAAATAATCAATAGCAATGTACAATGTTTAAAGACATAAGAGCTATACTACAGAGTTTTAAAAACTGTAAGAAAACAATATAGATGATCAAATAAATTGGCAGGCTTAAAGAAAATG